CCCATTCCCCACATCCGCGTGCTCTGTTGCGTGGGAGGCTGCAGAATTTAATTTGGGGTTATTGTGGACGTGATCGGATACCACAGCGCGGGCTTATGCTCCTACAGTACATACTGAACCTGATTGCTCTGTCTGCTGCTGTATTCACAGTCGTCGCCAAGAATTTGCCCTGGGGGGAGCCTCAGTTAATTTGTTTGCAAACTAAAGTTTAAACAGTTTAAGACTATTTTTACTGATCGCTCTACAGTATTCGAGAAGGCAGAATACATTTTTAAAATTAGTTTTATTTTTTGGAGTATTTCAGTCGTTTTCAAATTTTATATCCACCTCCGCCCTAGATATCCAGGAGGGGACAGTTGCCTGCCTTGCCCCCTTACCGACATGGCCCCATGAGTTTATTACGAATATATTTGCCAGCCGAACATACTCGTATTTGACGTCAGAATTCCACGGACCAAACCAAAACCAAAATTTGGAGACAAAATACGAGTATGTAAGAAGAAAAGGGATTTCGTAGGTTTTCAGCTAATAACAGCGGTGGTATTAAGATTTCTGTGTCCTATGATATAACGCTGTGCTGTCCTGTGAAAGTCAACCGACGTTTCGGAGGAACATATCGCCGCCATCTCAGGGGTTCAAAGGTAAGTCAAGAAATATCGGTTGACCTTTACCGGAGTACGCAGCATCATATCCGAGAAGACAGTAGTCTTCAATAACGGTTTTATCTGATTCATAGGAGATAAACCAGTTTTAATTGTTCAGACTTGAAGATGAAGGCAGCACATTGCACGGAAACTGGACTGTGCGGTGTCATAACTCAGAAAAACAAAAAATGTCAGTGAGGAGTACTGTCTTCTGAGGCATGGCTCTGTATTTCTTAACGTCGTGTAGACTTGTATGTGTTTGCACATGTTCATGTTCTGCCTGCAACGTCAGGGTCGAAGTGTATCTGGAGATGGAGGTAGCACATTCCTCCGAAACGTCGATAAACATGTACTAGAGTACGTGACGTCAAGAACACAGAAGCCACTACCAAGAGATCCTGAACTGATGTTGATTCTCCTCTTGAACCATATGAATGTGGACAGTGTTCCCGACGTTTCTGAAGCACATGCTGCTTCATCTGCATGAAGGTAGACTATACTCCGAAACGTCTGCAGCACTCCCACATCCACACGGTGTAAAGACTTGAGAGTAGAATCAGTATCAACACTGAATAGGTATTATGAAAACTACAATCGTCTAGGTTGTAATTCCATGTACTTCAGAGGCAGTCCGATGTTTCGGAGGAAGATATCGCCTCCATCTTCAAGGTCAATCGTGTGTATCTTACGTATCTTATGCTACAACGGTAGCTTAGACGCTAGAATGGGCGTAAGCTTCACCACCGCCAAGTTGAAGCCTCTGACTTCCTTTATTCTTATTTATTTCTAATTCTGTCAGTAATTCGCTGGTGATCTGTTTTATAGAGGTCGGAGAAACCACATTTGTGCTGCTTCGCGTCTTGGTTTGTTTCTGTTGATAAGTAGTGAGTCATAACTGCCGTCTCAGAATTACTTTTACAGTGATGATGCACAGAAGTTGCCATTTCTGTTCTGGGAATGCTGGGTCCGGTTCTCAACGGGGAGACATGGACTGTCACTGACTTTATCCGGGAGGTTTCCAATTCGGATCTTGGCCGCGACGTCAGCTATACTGAATGACGTTTTTTTCTTGTGGATTTCGTCAGTCAGCCCAGGCGAATCCCAGGCAGTGTCTCATTTTGGGTAACATCCGCTACTTGCTCTACCGTTTACAATTCAGTATTCACTTCTCATCCTACCCGTTTACGACTGGCGGAGCGTGATGCTTTCGAAAGTGTTAGCCGAATCCCGGAACAGAGGAATGTCCTAAAAATGTTGGAGATCGAGTATGTGTATCGTACAAGATAACTCTGCAAATGCGAGTTAAAAGTCTGTTCTAGTTAAGGTAGTTAAGGATGCAAAAAGCGGCCTCCGTAGTCTAGGGGTAACGTTCCCACCTCATGACTCAGGGTACGCGGGTTCAAACCCGGCGGAGGTCGTGGAACAAGTCCTCCGGGAGGGACTTTAAGCCGTGGGTCCCGTGTCGTAGATTTACGGCACGTAAAAGATCCTCATGTCTCTAGGAGACCTCTGAGCAAAATTAGGCAACAATTTCCCGCCCAAGTAGTTTCCAGTGCCTCTGGTAGATGGGGGAAATATCAGGTACCGACCGCCGACCTCGTTCGCTGAACGGGGCTGATAGCACGCACCAGTACCGGTAGGGTATGGCGACAGTAGAAATTAAAGGGTGACGCACAATGGACCAATAACTGGTCTAAGTGCATGGGGAAACCCACCCCCTCTAATAATAATAATAATAATAAGGATGCAAATAAAGCTGTCCTTGTAACAGGCGGTAGAGGCCCATAGGTGTGTGAGACTTGTATGATTCAACATTTTCTAGACAGTTGACTCACAGGTGTCGATGAGGTCGTCAGTCTTACGCGCCAACCGCCCTTTACTCGTTTCTGTTAGAGGCTGAGTCGACCCCAGGGCCATAGTGCAGCTGGAAGGATGAGCTCAATTGAAAAATCGAGTGAGCCCGTGACCTTCCGGCTTGTAGCACAGTGACCCAACCAATTACGCTACCGATATCGACTGTGGAAATTTTATTTTTATTGCACATTGTGCTTGTGTTCTGTACGACGATTTCTCGGGGAAGATATTTGTCACAAACTCACAGAAGATTCGACGTTTCCAGTGTCGTGAAGGGCATTCTTCTAAGTTGTCAGCGTGATGGCGAGCCTCTCGTGAGGTACTGCGTAGGTAGGAATGGACCCTCCTTACCGCCCGACGGAACCGTTAAGAACAAAGCAGACAATATTGTGACTTATGGTAATATCAGACTCAGATCTGAAGCAATAACGTGTTTTAGGTGAAGGCAAAGTGTGGTCCCTATGCTTAACTAATTAAGCACTACGCCACGAAGACGTATGGGGGAGTGGATGTATAGGGCCAAGTTTTACCTCGGCAGTAGTTTGAGGTTATTAGTCAGCTTCACGTCCCTGCTGCTTTACCCCACTTGGAAAGAGCCTCTGGAACTCATTTGATAGGAGGTATATTAGGCTGGAGGGGCCCCAGAGCCAGTCTGAACGACGTGGAAAAGAGAAAAATCATACCTCTATCGGGACTCGAACACCGACCTCTCGGCCGTCCAATCCATAGCCAGTCGCTATACTGACTGCGCTGACCCAGCCCCTTAAATATTTTAGGTGTGAAGTATTGTGATTTACAAATTCTTCCGCCGAATAAATAACGGGAAGTTCAGTTTTTGGAAGACGAGACTTAAAACACTGATGATTTTAATTACAATTCATAAGCAGTTAGAATCTTTTCAGAATAGAAATTCTTAAAGTGAAGTAAACTTTAACAAACTCCACGGAGTCGAGCCCTTCTTGAGAAGCCGCCAGTCGCGCAGCTACCCAATAATTAACAATATTTTATGGAACCCGAAGATTCATTACAGTGTCTACAAGAGCCTTCCACTGGTCCTTATCCTGAGCCAGATCCATCCTATCTCTCTAAGATCCACGTTAATATTATCCTAAGGCCGCCATACCTCAAGCGGTTATTCGCTGGCTTCCCACCGCGGCGGCCCGGGTTCGATCCCAGGTCTGGTCAAGTGGGATTTGTGGTGGACAAAGTGGCGGTTGGGCAGGTTTTCTCCGAGTACTTTGGTTTCCCTTGCCAATCTTCATTCCACCAATTGCTCCACGATCACCCTCACCTATCATCTGGGGCTGGTACAATAGGCCAGAAGGGGCCGCAGTACAAGGGACTTA